ATAAATAAAAATTGCCGAAATGTTTACCATGGTCCCTAATACCCTCTAGGAGTCCAATTGGGTTGGTAGAACCATCCAATTTGCCTTTAAACGGCCAATTTAATTACCGGTTTACAATTTGCACGGATTTCATCAACTCAAGCCTACTACAAACATTATGACAACATATAATGATCATTTATGGTTACAAACGGCATTATATGACCCCGAGATGTATCCCCTAAAAAATTTATACTTTTCTACTCCAGGCCCCGAAACCTACAAAATTTCTCAAAAAGAGTGGACATTAGCCTTCAATTTTGAAATTTTTTGATTTTTTATATCACAGAAATAAAAATTGCTGACATGTTTACCATGGTTTCTAATAACCTTCGGGAGTCCAATTGAGTGGGTGAAACCATCCAATTTGCTTTTAAACGACTAATTTACCGGTTTACAACTTGCACCGATTTCATTAATTCAAGCCTACCACGAACATTTATGACAACAAATAATGATCATATATAGTTCCAAACGGCATAATATGACCCGAGATGTATCCCATAGAATTTCAAGTCTTTTCGACACCGGGCCCCGAAACCTCCAAATTTTCTCAAAAAGCGTGGATATATTAGCCTTTAATTTTGGAATATTTTGATTTTTTTCGCACAGAATTAAAAATTGCCGAAATGTTTACCATGGTCCCTGATATCCTTCGGGAGTCCAATTGGGTGAGTGGAACCATTCAATTTTTTAACGGCCAATTTACCAGTTTACAACTTGCACTGATTTACCGGTTTACAACGACCAATTTAATTAACTTGCACCGAATCCGACTTCAACCGAAATTGACCCAAACTCGTTTTGACCCGTCAAAACCCGAATTTAACCCGACTTGTTACCAACGTGACCTGAATTCAACCTGACTAATTCCTAACCCGGCCCGAATTTAACCCAACCTGTTACAAATCGACCCGAAATCAACCCAACTTTTTCGCGCTGATAAATAAGTATTTTCGTTTTTTCGCCGATTAATCGGACCGTTATTGACCTGACCCAAATTCAAGTATTCAACCCAACTTGTTATTGACCCGACCTGAATTTTACCATAGTTATTACTTACCCAACCCAAAAATTCAACCCGATCTGTTACTAACCCGACTCAAAATTAACACGACTTGTTATTGACCCGACCTAAATTCAACCCAAATTGTTCCTGACCCGATTTCAAATCACCTTAAATGCAATTAAGACTACCTTATTATTGTTGATCAAAGCATTTTGTCTTGGGATACCAAGTCGGTCCGGGCTAGCAAAAGAAAAGAGCACCATCCTTAAATTTAAGAGTAAAATATTTTCTATATTTGTTGTATGGTCAAAGGAGATAATTATCTTCCTAAATTATAGACTATAGTTCCCTAGTATATTTCCATATATATAATAGTCAACGGAAATAATTAGCTTGATAAATTAAAAATGATAATTATCTATATATTTAGTTGACACGAATATAACCTGACTTGAAAATAACCCGACCTGATTGTAACCAGCAAATTATTGACTTGAACATAACCCGACTTGAATCCGAGTATGACCCAACTTGGAAATGACCCAACCTGATTATAACTCACAAATTATTGACTTGAATCGAACCCGACTTGAACCCGAGAATGACCCGACTTGAAAATGACCCGACCTGATTATAATCCGCAAATTATTAACTTGAACCGAACCCGACTCAAACCCAAGAATGACCCGAACTGATTCTAACCCGCAAATTATTGACTTGAACCGAACCTGACTCGAACGCGAGAATTACCCTAACCCGTTTTAACCCGAATAAAACCCGACTTATTGTTCATTCGACCCGAATGTAACCTGACTTGTTATTAACCCGACCTAAACCCGATCCAAATAAACCCGATAAGAAGTATGACCCGACTAAAGCATGACCCAACCCAAACCCAACCCGCGTAGGTTATGGAATTAATCTGAATTGACCCGAACCGAGTTGACTCGACCCACTCTTACGCGACCCAAACCCGACTCTTTTACCCACATCGACAGCTCTACATATTACCATGGCACGTCTCAATATTGTCCTCTTTAATCGATGATGTAATGTGGCCCCATTCAAAAAAAAAGGATGTAATGTGGCCTATGGTACAATAATGTCGTGCACGCATAAAATATTATTGACCATTAATGTTTCCTCCAGCCCTGTCTTAGAATAAATTCTTGGCTGCATTCTAGTGCAGCCAAGCTAGCTGCAACACCATTAAATGTGAACATATATTACGTTCAAATGAACATACGTTTTTTTTTCTTTCTTATATCTTAATTCTCTTTCTTCTTCTTCCTTAGCTCTATTATTTCTCTCTCTCTTCAGTTTTCTTCTCAATTTAACATTTCTCTCTCCTCTTTACCTCATTTCCCTTCAATCTTTAAAGTTTTCTTCTTCTTTATATAAATTTTTGAGTTACTAATTCGTGTTTTGATGGGTATACTTCTTTCTTTCTAAATCTATGAGTTTCAGATTCAATCATCTGGCTTTATCAAAGAGGAAAGAAATAAATGGAGGAGAGAGAAAGTTGAAGGTCAAAGAAAACAATGGAGGTTTGATTTTATCAATTTGTAATTTATCATGCATGATGATTTATTGTTTGATTGTTTGAAATTATTATGAGTTTGTGATGAATATCAATTAAATTGCTTAATTGTTAATGAATATCAATTGTATTGCTTAATTTGTAGTTATTTTCTTTCTCTCCCCCCCCTCTCTCTCTATCTCTTTCTCTCTCTCTCTCTTTCTTTTGATTTCTAACCATGTTACAAATCAATAATTAATTTCTCTATGATGAATCAAGATTAGATTTAAGGTAGATATTCAATTTTTTAGAGTTTCAATAATTACAATCGATCTTGAATATAATTTGTGTAAAAAAAAATAAACACGTAGGAATTTAAAAATGAACATCTCTAACAAAATGAGCATTTAGTACACAGAAAATGAATATTAAATACATAAAAAATAACATATTTCAACAATTTATTTTATCTTTATTTTTCATTAATAATTATATACAATGAATTTGAACCTTTATGAAAATCAAGTTCATTTTTATATCCTTAATGTTCATAACTTTTTGTTACATGTTCATTTTATAAGTGTTTATTTTTTAATACTAAATTTTCATTTTTATTAGGTTGAAAGTGAAATATAATACGTTGAAAGTTAAATTATCTGAACATTTAGTGTTGAAAATCTGAACAATTTATTATGAATATATAATGTTTCGTTATTCATTACGAACATATCTGTTATTGATTATGAACACATATGACATATAGCGTGATAATTATTTATATTTTTAACTACTGTATTGATGATTATATATTATGAAAATTCTAAATAATTATTATGAACATATATTGTGATGATTATGAATTTTGATTATTTGTTATATTTTAGCGAGTATAGATTAATTGTATTTGTAGAAGACAAAGACTCTGAATTAGTGAAGAAACAAGTAAGAAGTGATGGAGAAGTATATGATATTACAACGAATTTGCCTTTAAGTTGGAGAATTTCCGATGTATATGATCCCAATTTTATGGTTGTATGATAAAGGTTCATTTGTAATATACTAAATGTTCATTTTTTTTTACATGTTCACTTTTTATTACTGAATGTTCATTTTTTTACGTGTTCTTTTTTATTACTGATTTTGTTTTATGTGTTCATTTTTCTAACTAAATGTTCATTTTAAGGTCGTGGTCTAGCAAATTTATGATTATATGATAATCAGATTCATTTTTAATAAATAATCATTTCCTTATAACATGTAAACTTTTTAGTATTAAATGTTCATTTTTTTACGTGTTCATTTTTTATTATTAAATGTTCATTTTTTATTTCATGTTCATATTTTTTTAACTAAATGTTCATTTTTTATTTGGGCCGCGTGTTTTGGGCCTCACTTGTTGTAGCTATCTTGGCTGAGTGCAGCCAAGACCAATTGCTGTCTTAGAGCATGTTTTTTTTTTTATAATACACAGAATAGGGCCTCAAAATTGAGGGCCCAAAATTTCGTTGGTTCAAGTCCAAAAAAAAAATAACTAAATAAATATCTCATCTTTATCATATTCCCGTAAAATATGGCCACCATTTCCAAAACCATATACAAACTCTTCAGATTGTTTCTTCTTCAAATTTAAGTCTACGGGTGTCTATTTGGTTTTTGGTTTGGATTTTGGTCAAACCCAATCCAATCCGAAATAAAATTCGATTTTAAATTTTTAAATTCAATCTGATCTGAATTTCTCATCACTCCAATCCGATATAATCTAAATTACAATTCGGTTATCTGCATCCGATCCGAAAATCCGAATTATAATACGTTTGCAAATTTTTAAGGTCTAAAGTGATTATAAAAATAAAAAAGCAATTATAAATTTGTACACTATATTAATAGTTTAATACAAGTATTGAAAACATAGTTTTACATAATTTATAATAATGTAACTATCTACATAATCTTACATGATTAATATAAATAATCAATATTTGTAAAAGTATGGTTTCATATTTCGGTTAATTCCGTTTTTTGGATCCAAACAAGGTCAATCCGATCCGAAAATCCGAATTAATAATTTGGTTTAAATTGGATTGGATTTCGATTTTTATCCGAATAATGGACACCCCTATTTAAGTCTTTGATTTTAATTTTTAAATTTTCAATTAAAATTAAACACTTTATTTTTTATTTTTATTTATTTATTTATTTTTCTTAATCTCTCTTAATTGTCTAATTCCCTTATTTGTACCCAACTACCACTATTTTTAAGGCAAACTTTAAGCAACAATTTATCCTTGATTATAATTAGGGGTGTTTATAAATCGGTTCAGACCGAAAAAATGGACAGGACCACCTCGGATCGAACCAAATTAATCGGTCTGGTCCGGTCTTTGGGTCTAGAAATTTATTTTAATGGTCTTTGGTCCGGTATAGTCCAAAACCCTATAAAAACCGGTCCGGAATAGATGAGGGGGTGCCGATATCATAGATGGGCTCTTCGAGCGACCGCAAGTGACTTTTGCGTGCCCTGTTAGACAAACCCCCTGAGGCAAACCCTCCGGCTATGACATTGATGCTCAAGTTAGTGTCAGCAGAGCTATGGGTTTCTTGCACTTCCTTGGCGGCCTTGCTTTGCTTATCCTTTGGGGGGGACTTGAGATATCTGTTAAGCTTTCCCTCTTCAGCTAGCTTGTCAAGGGCTCTTTTAAGCTCTCTGCAGTTCCGGGTGGTATGACCGCACTCCTTGTGGTATTCACACCAAAGCTTCTTGTTCCTCTGTTCTATCGGTGTGTTCATGGGGTTAGGATTAGGAAGAATAGCCTTGTGCTTTATGTCCAAATAGATCTCACGCCTATCAGCATTGTACTTGAGTCCTTCATCATCACTCTCAGCCCTCCTCGGCCTTCGATTCCTGTTGTCATGGTAATTATCTTCTTGCTTCCTCTTCCCCTTGTTGTTTGTTGTGGGTGCCTTGCACACCTCACTAGCTTCAATGATCCTTTCATCTCTCTCCATTGCTTCAGAGAAGGTGCTCACCTTGTCATGGACAAGTTCAAACTTCAGCTTGTTAGACTTGAGCCCGAAGAGAAGGGCTGTGAAAGCAACATTGTCTTGGAGGTCGGGTATGAGCTGAGACTCGGTGTTAAACCTCTTGATGTAGTCCTTAAGACTTTCATTCTCCCCTTGCTTCACCGTCATCAAGTGAACGCTAGTCTTTGTTTGCCTACTCCCAGCGATGAAGTGCTTTTTGAACTAAGTGGCCAACATGTCAAACGTTCTTATGCTCCCGGGTAAGGTTGTTGAACAATGTCTGAGCTATACCCTTGAGAGTAGTAGGGAAGAACCTACACCATGAGGCCTCACACCCGGTTTGGACTCCCATCTGTGCTTTGTAAGCGTTCAGATGGTCCGTCGGGTCTATCTTTCCATCATAAGGGTCCAATGTAGGGATTTTGACCTTGGGATGAATAGGAGTATTCATTATCTCCTAGCTGAAGGGGTGATGTTCTTGACAATCCCGAGCCTCCGTGGCCTGGGGGAGGAAGGACGCTCGGGGCTCTTGCTTACTGAACGAGCGGGCTGATTAGTTCCTCTTCTTGGTCTGGAGGTAGCTGAGTGAATCATGCTATCTCGATACCTTGTTGACCCATGCCGAGAGTGAACTCTAGTTCGACCTCTCTGGGGGGTTGTTATCTTCCTTGGAGTTCTCCGTCTTGGAGTTGATTATCTCTCGGGCATCTAGAGTGCCATCCTTCAGCCTTCGGTCATTGATAATCTCTCTAGCATCTCTTGGCCTCCTTGGCTGCCTTGTCTCCCACTGGGGGTCATGGGACTGATCGGGCTGAGAGCGGCGAGATGTCTGATGCTGAGGCCGAGAGGAGGCTTGATGGATATGGGACACATGAGGCGGAGGATTAGGCTGCGGAGCGCTCCCCTTCCTGCCTTGCCCTACCCCTTGGTTGATAAGTGCCCTGAGGCTTTTCTCCAAGTTTCTGTTGATTTGGACTGCCAGCTGGTCCAAGTCTCTGCGAGTAACCACCTGGGGGCTGTTCACTTCTCTCTCAGGCTCACTATGAGTCCTAGGTAAAATCTCTTCGACTATGTGAGGGTTCCTAGCCGAGAGAATCGGAGCTTGCCTAATAGCATCTTGATGAGAGCTGCGGGGACGCCTAGTGTTCACCATGACTTTTTGTTTGTTATCCCCACAGACGGCGCCACCTGTTTCTGGAAACAGAATGCTCCTGGGAGTCTTAGGGTAGTAAGGGTAATCAAGATGTCCTAGAACTATGTCCAATGAATGTCTGAATTTCCTTCAGCTATGCCTTGCTGTCCGAGAGCTAGGCCTGCAAAAGAGAAAGAAGGTTAACTGCCCCGGGGGTGTGACCCGGGAAAGCCCCTCCGATGCTTAAGTCAGCGAACGTACTTTCTATTGAGAGAAAGCAGAGAGAAAGAGTACTTTAGAGAGAGAAAGTAGAGAGAGAAGATTAGAGAATTAGGAAAAAGTTACCATCATCAATGATTGGAGAGCTATTTATAGATGTACTTTCAGGTGGCAGAAGTTGTACTTAATTGGACAGATTAGGGGTAAATCCGTACTTTACTCTGACTAATGATGGGCTGGATCATGGAGGGGTATTTTCGTAATTCCAGGTCACTGGGCTTAGGACAATGGACTAGGCCCAAACAGCCCTAATTATAATATCCGATTTTGGTCACATTAACTGCCAATTTATTTTCATATTATACTAGTATTAGTTAAGTACTTTCATACCCACAAACAATTAGTCAATTAGAATCTTTGCACCAAAAACAAAAAACAATTACAATCTTTTTTCAATTGTAATTCGATTCAATCCATTAGTTCTTTGGCCAAGAATTCTTCCATTAGAGTTCTTAAACTTGGAGCTATGGTCTTTGCCATGTTTTTTTTAGGTATAATAATAATACTTTTTACCTTTATTTAAAAATGGTTCTTTAAAAATTATTAGGGGCCTAATTTTTGTAATTAGAACCGGGCATTCAAATTATCGGAAACGGCCCTAGTTTCCTCATGATACGGAATATAAAATTCTTAAATTACATGCATCAACTAATTACCTCTAGGTATTGTTTGGGGCAAGGACAAGATATTACATCAAATATCTTATACGGAGTACTGAATAGTGAATACTAATTAATGGAGAGATAATAAAATCGTCATAGCTATCTAGGGTTGATCACTTGTTTCAAATCATGTGGATCAGACTGAAAGACTAGATTTTACTTTTTCTTTTTTTTTTTAAAAGAAAAATTTAAAATAGCATCATGTATTCTTAAATACAATAGATATACCACCATTAATCAATAACACATGTACAATAATAATCTTCCGTAAAATAAAAATAAATAAAAAAAAGGGTGCAAGAATCATCTTTGTTAGAGAGAAACCTGATCAACGGTCCAGCCCTTCAAGGATCGAAGTGACTGGACCAAATTTCTCAGTCCACATTAGACTTTGCATTTTTCTCCAAAGCCTGGCCTTTTAATCGAAAAGCCCAAGCCTAAAATAGATCTGTGTGTACATAGGCCCGACTGTGTTGATAGTTCAATTAGTATTATGTGGCTATGTGCACCATGGAGCATCTTAAAATTTACGTTGATCGAGGCAAAATGGATGGTTCCAACCACTTAAAAGTGACTTCTCGGAATCCCGTGTGGAATATGGAAAGCATCTTGACCTCTATCAACTTGTTGCATCTTTGCAATGAATGTACCCCTATTAATTTGTTAAAAACTCAATTTAAAAAGGATGCTCGCTGGGACCGTAGTAGTCTATCTAGTGGCTAATTGGGCTTACTGCTTGATCCAGTTGTCTTGAACTGTAGCTGTATTTGCCACTTAAGACTTCTCCTAATGGAGACAAAGACATACGAGTCATGTGTGATTTGTTAAAATTGGATCCTGTACGAGTCCTGTGTGATTTGTTAAAATTGGATCCTGTACGAGTCCTGTGCGATTTGGCCCTCATTTGGGCTAGAGAATGAAGGATAACTCAAGTGGTTAGAGATTCTCTTTTAATTCTAAAAGATTTTAGGATCGATTTTCATCTACGTCCATGGGTGGGTTTCTAAGCAGCTTAAAAAATATAAAAAAATAAAAATAAAAAATAAAAAATTGGGCCAAACACTTCTCACGATTGAGAATGTATTTTCCTACAATTACTATAACCATACAAACATTAAAATGATTAAACTTAGGTCATTGTTGATTGCTTAGTTGACTTATTTTGATTGTTGCACTATTTATGCTAAACGAGACCCTTTTATTTTTGAGATCCTTTACTTTAAAATTTCACATGGTAATAATAATAATAGCCTTATATTCTTATGAATTTCTTTTGGTGTACATTCATGGGTCTTTTAACTGAGAGTGAGGGATAGCTTAAGTGGTTAGAGTTTCCCTCCCAATTCTATGAGATCTTTTGATCGATTCCCACCCCCGCCCTTGTGGCTCCTAAACATTAAAAAAAAAGGTCCTTTAACTATATACACATATGAAGTATTATTCGAGAAAATACAAATTTACCAGCTTGATAAATAAATTGGGAAAACAGTAAATAAAATACACACATGTTGTTTATCAAGGTGATAAATTGGGCTCCATCATATTATTTTATTTTAAAAAAATGTCAAAACAATTAAAAAATATACTATGTAAATAATTAGGATTGAGAGTTTGCAAGTTGCTGATGAGATCTCATTAAAAGTACCTAGTCACCTAGAAGTTATAGAAGATTGACCTAATTTTTTCTCATGTACTATATGCATCTGTCTACCACTTGCATGATATTTATATAGCTAGTCACTCAACCAAAACATGAAGCAAACACATCTGATACCTTAAATGATTAAATCCAATCCATAAGAAATATTGCTAATTATTCTCCTCTTCTTCCTTGCAACCCTTTCTCTGTTTTTTCTTCTTCTTACAAAACACCAAATAAATGAACTAATATTTCATCCTCCACCCGGACCTAAAGGCCTCCCCTTTATCGGAAATTTACATCAATTCGATTTCACGAAACCACACTTATCTTTTGCAAAGCTCGCTAAGATCTATGGCCCTATATACACATTGCGATCAGTTTCAAAAGTCATATTATTCTGGAATAATTAAAAGGTCATTTTATTTTTGGAAGACTGGTAAAAGGTCATTTTATTCTTGACAATTTTTCCTTTTACTTTTAAATTTTACCGGGTAATAATGACAGACTTAAGTTCTTATGTACATGAGAATTTCTTTAGGTGTACTTTCATATGTCCTTTAAATATATAAACAGAAGTAAATATTATTTATTTACAAAAATGTTAAAAGTTAATCAATAAAAATTATAAATAATTAAGATTGAGAATTTGCAAGTTGCTGAGATCTCATCAAAAAGTACCTATTAGGACATTGACCTATTATTTCCTCATCTACTATCAATCGTATGCATTTGTCTACCACTTGCCCACTTGCATGATATTTAACTTATATAGCAAACACGTACATTTGATATCATAATTCCATAAGAAATAATGCTACTCCGTAATTATTTTCCTCTTCTTCCTTGCAACATTTTCTCTTATTTTTCTTCTTCTAACAAAACACCAAAAAAATGAACCATTTCATCCTCCACCCGGACCTAAAGGCCTCCCCTTAATCGGAAATTTACACCAATTCAATTTTTTGAAACCACACTTATCTTTTGCAAAGCTCGCCAAGATCTATGGCCCCATATACACACTTCGATTTGTAAGTAAAAACGTCGTAGTTATACAATCATCTACGATGGCAAAAGAAGTCCTGCAGACGCAGGACTTAAACTTTTGCCATCGACCTATATCAGTTGGCATGCAAAGACTAACTTATAATGGTTCGGACATAATGTTTGCGAAGGATTTCGAGTACTTTAGAGAAATAAGAAAGATTTGTGCTCTTCATTTGTTTAGTGCAAAGAGAGTGCAGTGTTTTGCTCCAATTCTACAGGATGAATTTTCAAGACTTGTTCATAAGATTTCTTCTCTTGCTTCTGCTTCTAAACTTGTCAACTTGAGTGAATTGTTGTTTCTTTCTGCGGGCTCCAATATATGCAAGCTTGCCTTTGTATTGAGGAAAATAGGATATATTTTCCAAATATCTAAGGATATCTTTGATAGCATATTTTAGGTAGTTAATAATATCTTTTGATACTTTCCTAATTCTATCTTGATTGGGATTGTTTTAGCTTGTATTATATATGGTGGTTCTCTTAGAAATAATATTCAAGTTTTCTGTTTCATTTATTCTACATGGTATAAGAGCCAGAGTTTTTTTTTTTCATAAAATTTAGCCATGGCCGGTGATGATACACCACCACCACCGCCACCACAAAAAATAGAAACTAATTCACCATTCTATCTAGGGGCGCATGATCGTCCTGGAGACTTTATCTCTCCAATTCGGTTAAAACTTGACAATTTTGATTCGTGGTCTCAAGCAATTTTTGTTGCTCTTTCGTCTCGGAGGAAATTTGGGTTTTTGGATGGTACTATCACTGATTGTGTGCCGCCTGCAACCAAGGAGGATTGGGTTGTGGTGCACTGTATGCTCGTTTCATGGCTCATGAACACGATTGATCCGGAGGTAAAATCTATGCTTTCTAATTATGATAATGCAAAAAGTTTGTGGGATGATTTGCATGAAAGATTTTGTGTTGTTAACGGTCCTCGTATTCAAAATTTGAAAGCTCAAATAAATAGATGTGAGCAAACTAAAAATATGTCAGTGGCTATTTACTTTGGCAAATTAAAAGTTTTGTGGGATGAACTTGCTAAACTTGAACCATTAATTAATTGCAAGTGTGGGAAGTGTACATGTAGTGTTGGTAGGCAACATGAGAAAAGGCGTGAAGATGATAGGCTCCAACAATTTTTATTAGCTCTTTGTTCTGATTATTATGCTCAAACTAGCTCTAATATATTAGCACAAGACCCTCTTCCCACATTAAATAAAGCTTATCAATAAGTCTCACAAGATGAGCTTGTCCGAGGCCTTGATAGGGTTCGAGAGGAACCGCAACAAGCTGTCAGTTTTGCTGTTCGTGGAGGTGGTGCTCGAGGTCGTGAAGGGTCTGATCGCACCTCTAGTGGTTCAGTGTGTGCTAAGTGCAAGAAGGGTGGTCATGAGACTTCTCGTGTTGGTCAGATAAAATATGCAATCATTGCAAAAAAAGGGGGCACATAGAGAACAAGTGCTTCGAGCTTCATGGGTATCCCCCAGGCATGAGTGATAGTAGCCAGGGGGGGACAGCATCGGCGGGTCGTAGTCAAGGCTCGGCACGGGCTAATGCAATCTTGGGTTCGAATGCTCCTTCTCATGGTCAAGCTTTCACATCTGAGCAATGGAAGGCGATCACGGGTTTATTTGGAAAAGCCAATGAAAATCGTTTGAATGGTAAGTTTGATGTTACTTCATGGATTATTGACACCGAGCCACTCACCATGTCACCGGCACAGACTCTTGGATGTTTGATACTCGTTCTTTTGAGTGTCCTGTTGGATTACCTAACAGGGACACAGTGGTTGCCTCTTTAGTTGGTTCTGTTCGTTTATCGGACAAGATCACCCTCACCGGTGTTCTTTATGTCCCCTATTTGAGTTGTAATTTGATTTCAGTATCTCAGCTTACTGATAAGCTTAATTGTTTTGTCCAATTTAATTCTTATATGTGTGCTATACAGGACCAAGCGAAGGAGCTGATTGGAATGGGAGCTAGGAGAGACGGACTATATTATTTTAGCAATTCGGATTCGGTGAATCTTGTAGGCGCTGTTGAAGCATCCTCGGATTTGGAGTTGTGGCATCGTCGAATGGGTCATCCTTCCGAGAAAGTAGTTAAGTTACTTCCTCATGTTAGTAGCAATAAAGCTTGTTTAGATAAAGGATGTGAAGTATGTATGCGTGCTAAACATCCTCGAAATAAATTTCCTTTAAGTGATAGTAGAGCTTCTAGGATTTTTGAGAAAGTACATTGTGATCTGTGGGGTCCATATCGACATGTTTCGTCGTGTGGAGCTTGATATTTTTTGACTATTGTGGATGATTATTCTCGAGCAGTTTGGATTTATTTATTAATTGATAAAACTGAGGTTTTACGAAATTTTTTGGCTTTTGTTTCAATGGTGGATAGACAATTTTCCCAAACCATTAAAATTGTGCAGAGTGACAACGGTACGAAATTTAATTGTTTGTTTGATTATTTTCGTGCCACTGGAATTATTTTTCAAACCTCTTGTGTGGGTACTCCTCAGCAAAATGGGAGGGTTGAGCGTAAACACAAACACATTCTTGAAGTTGGGAGAGCGTTAAGGTTTCAAGCCAAATTGCCTATTTATTTTTGGGGGGAGTGTGTTCTTGCCGCAACCCACCTAATTAACCGTACCCCCACTCCCTTGCTTCAAAATAAAACACCTTTCGAATTATTATTTGATAAACCACCCTTGTTTGATGCAATTCGTACCTTTGGTTGTCTTTGTTTTGCTCATAATTAAAAAACTAATGGAGACAAATTTGCGAGTCGGAGTAGAAAATGTGTGTTTTTGGGTTATCCTTTTGGGAAGAAGGGATGGAAATTGTATGATCTTGAGTCGAAATTTTTTTTTGTCTCTCGAGATGTGAAGTTTGTTGAGGATGTGTTTCCTTTTGGTACTCCGGATGATGTGAACATAGTGCCGGAATTTTTTGACACAAATAGTGAAGTTCATGGGGATTTTTTGGAGTACGAGATATTTGATGATGAAAATGGCGTTATTAATGGCTTCAATGAGGAAGAGCAAGCTGCCCCGGGTCAGCCACACTCAGGGCAGCCTGCTAGGGAGGCTACGGCAGATCACCCCACAGCCAGGCCGCGGCCACAGGACACAGCCCGCAGCCAGGCCGCGGAGCAGTCTGCTGCACACCTAGACGCTGCCTGGCAAACCCCTTTCAAGCCGCATAGCAGCAGCGACATGACTGCCGAGCCTCACAGCAGCAGCAGCAGCATGGGTGCTAAGCAGCACCATGCTTCTCCTGAGCTTCTTGAGGTGCATGAACATGAGGAGTTAGGTCGCAGTTTTCGTGAAAAAATTCCATCTGTCAAGCTTCGTGATTATGTGACTCACTCCGTTTTTGCTAATAGTCCGTCTCCGTCCACTCCATCCTCCAACACTCCTTCAGGTACTCCTTATCCTTTAGCACATTATATAAATTGTGACAAATTTTCTGTGAATTATCGCAAATTTCTTGTAGCCATTGTTCATGACAAAGAACCTAAGTCTTTCAAAGAGGCTATGAAGTATGAGGGGTGGAAGCAATCCATGAAAGAAGAAATAAAATCTTTAGAAGATAATGGCACATGGACTTTAGAACATCTTCCTCCAGGGAAGAAAGCTCTAGGAAGTCAATGGGTGTATAAGACAAAATTTTTGTCTAATGGTCAAGTTGAGCGACTCAAGTTTCGATTGGTTGTTTTTGGTAATCATCAGCAGGAAGGCATCGATTATGGTGAAACTTTTGCTCCCGTGGCTAAGATGACTACAATTCGAGCTTTTCTTGCAATAGCGGCTTCTAAAAATTGGGATCTTCATCAGATGGATGTTCACAATGCCTTCTTACATGGTGATCTCGATGAGGAGGTGTACATGAAATTGCCCCCCGAGTTTGAGAGTTCTGATCCATCCTTGGTGTGTCGTTTGAGGAAGTCGTTGTATGGGTTGAAACAGGATCCGCGGTGTTGGTTTGCAAAGCTAACGACAGCTTTAAAAGGGTATGGTTTCATTCAATCCTACTTTGATTACTCTCTTTTTACATACACTAGAGGCAATGTTCAGATTAATGTCCTGGTGTACGTAGATGATCTTATTCTTTCTGGGAACGATTTTGCTGCTTTGACTGTGTTTAAAGCTTACCTTGGTGACTGTTTTAAGATGAAGGACCTTGGTCCCTTGAAGTATTTTTTGGGTATAGAAGTGGCTCGTAGTTCATCTGGTGTGTTTTTGTGCCAACGAAAATATATGTTGGATATTATTTCCGAAGCAGGTTTGTTAGGGGCAAAGCCGAGTGGTTTTCCTATCCCACAAAACCATAAGCTCGGCCTTGCTAATGGTGAATTGCTCAAGGACCCTGTATCCTATCGAAGATTAGTGGGAAGATTAATTTATCTTTCGGTTACACGACCGGAATTGGCTTATTCAGTGCATGTTTTGTCTCAATTTATGCAACAGCCGTGTTCTGAGCACTGGGAAGCGGCCTTGCGTGTGGTTCGATATTTGAAAGGTACCCCGGGTCAAGGCATTCTGTTAAGTGCATCTAGTGATCTAACCTTGCAGGGTTGGTGTGATTCGGATTGGGCGGCATGTCCTCTCACTCGTCGTTCATTGACAGGATGGCTTGTTTTTCTTGGTCATTCTCCAATTTCTTGGAAAACCAAGAAGCAACCTACGGTGGCTACTTCATCGTCTGAGGCAGAGTATAGATCCATGTGTTCCGCTACGTTGGAGTTGAAATGGTTAAAGGCCTTGTTATTGAGTCTGGGGATTGAACATCCTCAGGCAATCAAGTTGTTTTGTGATAGTCAATCGGCCCTGCAGATTGCTAAAAATCCGGTGTTTCATGAACGCACCAAACACATTGAAGTTGACTGTCATTTTGTCCGTGATGCAATCAATGAAGGGTTAATATCTTCATCCTATGTGCCTACTTCTTTCCAGTTAGCAGATATATTCACCAAGGACTTGGGAAATCACAGTTTGATTTTCTTCTTTCCAAGTTGGGCATCTATGACCCGAGTGCTCCAACTTGAGGGGGGTATTGAGGAAAATAGGATATATTTTCCAAATATCTAAGGATATCTTTGATAGCATATTTTAGGTAGTTAATAATATCTTTTGATACTTTCCTAATTCTATCTTGATTGGGATTGTTTTAGCTTGTATTATATATGATGGTTCTCTGAGAAATAATATTCAAGTTTTCTGTTTCATTAATTCTACACTTTGGTAGGAGGAATAAAAGTATGATAAAAGTATGAATAAAAGTAATATACTTGTTTCTCTTATAAAAAAAAAAAGTAATATACTTGTTTCAAAAATCAAAATATTAGTAAGAGCAAGTTTAGCCCCCCAAGCCTTAAGACTTGGGGTGACATCATCATTTTAAGTCTTAAGACTTATGCTTAAGACTTTTCCCATTTTTCTTCAAAAATCTCAAGCAAGTCTCAAGTTGAGTCTTGAAATTTCAAGACTCAACTTAAGACTTGAGATTGGGACCCACTACTCCCACCTCACTTTTATTTTTATTATCCCTTTTTTTTCTTACACTTTTCTACATATAATATGTCAAATATTTAAGTCTTAGGGCTAAAGTGATAAATATGTGTAAGTCTTAGTGAGTCTTAACAAGAATTTGATGACATCATTTTCAATGGGGACCACAAAAAATGATGTCACATTCAAGTTTTAAGACTTGGGGCTAAACTTGCTCTAATGCGTGTGAAAAGCAGGATAAAAGTATGAATAAAAGTACTCTGTAATAATGTGGGCCATAATCATTAACTCAAATTTCGTAATGACAATTGAGAATATACACGGTGTCATTTATTTATTTCTATATCTATGAAATTTCTTCTTATATTATACATGAATCTAGCTTAAAGCTTAATTGAACTATATTTGATCATTCAATTTGAATTTAACATACTATTTCCATTACAGGTTATGTGCAACGATTGAGAGGGAAAATGTCTAATCGTTGCACATAACCTGTAACGGAGGTAATATATACAAAATTATTTGTCCTAGGCTCCTATCTTATAAATAGCTTCAAAAACTACGAAGCACATTGTCAATCTAGCAAAATTGACATCATGTTTATGATTACCAATTGTTCCAAAATTTAAAATCCTTACATAACCATTTGACAAAAAATTGACCCAACTAAAAATTGTCTGGTTGATAATATATCTAATAAATTAAAAGTTGTTAAATTATAATAAATCTATAGGCTATAGAATAAAATATAGGACTACTCCGCATATTTCAATCCGACCCGAGCCTAAAATGAACTCAAACAAGCATTTGTCAATGCATGATCCAATTAACTTGCATTGTCTCGACTTGAACCGAACCTAAAAACTCAATTGTTAGCTCCAAATATATGATATTCTCTCTATCGATCTTAAAATAATTGACACAATCAACTTGTCATTTGACCTTAAATATGTATAAATAAACATTGGTTAAAAAAAATAGTATTATTTTTTTGGTGAAAAAAAAAATGGTATAATGAAACTTGATATTAATAAATATTTAACAACATATTTCATGAAAAAATTTACATAGTATTTTTAACATGTTATAAAAAAAAATAGGAAAATTTGAATTTTGGTACCTCGAATATGGGGTTAATTGAATTTTCGTACCCGTTTAAAATTTATTTTTAAATTGGTACCTCCAAAAACACAAAACTGTAGATTTCAGTACCTCTGTTCATGTTCCGTTAAGTTTTCCATTAGTGGGGCACATTATCTATTTATTTAATAATTTAATTTATTAAAAAAAAAAAGAAAAATCAATTTATAAAAAAAAATTAAAAAATAATAATAATAAAAAAAAAATGAAAAATCCCTAAAATCTTAACCAGCCGTCCGACCACTCTCGATTGACCTTCGAAACGAGCCTAACTGTAACCTAACAACCTTAACCCCGATTTGGTTTCAGGATAAGGGTGAGATGAGTACGGTGGTATGTGGGTTTTGGTATGGGTGTGGATTGGGGTTTCGGTAGTTCGATGACGGTTTTGGGTAGGGGAGAGGAGTTCTGCGGCGGTGGTGGGTTGATTTCCTGCTGTTGGCTTCTCGCTGGGCTGGTTTAGGTGGTTCGACGATGGTTTCGAGTCGGGAGATGACAATGGGGGCTTCTCGCTGGGCTGGTTTGTGTTGGGGTCTGGGTAGTTCGACAATGGCTTCAGGTCGGGGAGACAACGATGGGGTTGGCTTAGGGTGACGACCATGGTACGGTAGTGGTGACCACCGTTGTTCTAGGATTTCGGGGAAGGGGAAAACAGGGAGGGAAAGGGAAAGGGAGGGGGTGGGGTGTCACAGCCAGAAACGAAGAATGGGAGGGAAGATGGTGGTGGTTGCGCTAGGGTTTCGGGGGAGGGTAAAAAAGGGAGGGAAAGGGAAGGGGTGGCCGGCACCGGTGCCAGGGGAATTCGGCCACCAACATCCGAAGCCGGCGCCGGCGCTGGTGGCAGTGGCTGATTTTTTTATTTTATTTTATTTTTTAAGTTTTTTTTTTAATAAAATGTTTTTTCTTTTTTTTAATAAATTAAATTATTAAATAATTAGATAATGGGCCCCACTAACGGAAAACTTAACGGAACATGGACGGAGGTACTGAAATCTACAGTTTCGTGTTTTTGGAGGTACCAATTTAAAAATAAATTTTAAACGGGTACGGAATTTCAATTACCCCCATATTCGAGGTACCAAAATCCAAAATTTCCAAAAAATTACTCATATTATCAAAATTAGTATACAAATACGAGTAGTAAATATTACTTCTGTCCCATAATATAGTTCATGTTTTCCTATTTTGGAGTGTCAAAATGTTGTTTTTGTTTTTATTTTTGGATAATATATAAAGACTATTATAACCTCACTTTTATAAACTTTATTCATTGTACTTCCTACGTGACCCTTAAATTTTGCAGATGCCTTGTACGTTTTTCCACTTTCTCTTTCTAACTTTTGTTTACAATTGTACTTTTCACTTTATTAATGTGTTTCATCTACTTTCTCCTCCCAATTCTTAAATACCGTAAAAAAAAACAAAGATAAACTAATATTATGAGACGGAGGGAGTATTAAATATCTCAATTATTCTGATATATACGAGAAATATCATTTAAAATAGAACCAAAACTAGAACTAGAAACTCACAAATTCGATTTGGATAAGGTATAATGTGTACTTTATTTATTTTGGGGGGCTGGGTGTTGGGTGATGAGGAGGAATGAATAGACCGTGTGTCTTGGATTCTTCGAGCAGCCATCAAGCTTCGGATGAGGGGAGGGTTGTATATCTATCATTACCCATACATTAAGGTTGATAATTGTCATGAGCAAGATAAATTAAAGATAAAATGCCAATGATGTCTAAATTTTTTCCCTAATGTCATTAATTATATTTGTCTAGATCATTATATTGTACATAATCCTTTCAAAGTTCCAGTAAAAAAAATAATCCTTTCAAAGTTAAAATGGTCACACTTATGTATTTAATCATCCCATCAAATCTAAATAATTGCAACTGTTTTATCGCCCCTTGATATCTAAATAACTACAACTATTTAATTGTCCCATCAAATCTAAATAATTACAACTATTTAATTGTCCCATCAAATCTAAATAACTACAACTATCTAATTGTCCCATCAAACCATTTGCTAATGCACTATGTCCATTAGGTATTTAACATCGTGTAAATTATTACACTCTCTTCAGTTCGTCTGATAATCTAGTACTCCGTACTCCGTATTATTTCGTTTTTGTGGTTCTAAATTTATTATTTATTTATTTTTTAACAAAAGATGTGTTTTGACTACCAATATACAGAGTAATATTATTAATTTATTTGACCCCAAACTAATTTAATTTTACCTTGATAATTTTTGGTTAAGTAGTTGGATCAAATGTATTTTGTGTGAGAGTAATATAAAGTTGTAGCTTCTATTATTAATTTGAAACAGTCGGTCACTCGGTCTGACGTTAAAATGAAATATAAAAATAATGAGAGATGTAGTGAATAATCATCTATATCATCAAAAAGAAAAATAGAACAAATAAAAGGGGACGTAAAGAGTATCATATTAATATCACCATATTTTACATGATAAATTATTAATTAACATCACTGTATTTTACATGATAAATTTTTTATTTTATATGCATTTATGTAAAACTATAGTCGGAATTAATATGAAATGTATAAAGTATAAAATTCAAAAGAGTTTAGTTGAGAATTTTTTTATAAGAAAAACTATGTTATACATTTCAAATTTGTTTTATATAAAAAAAATACAAGTATAAGAAACTATCTTATAAAATACTAAATATTGTAATAAGCTATCTTATGCCAAATTAATGATGAAAGGGAAGGGGAATTGGGGTTATAAGGCAAGTAGGCAACTATTGGGAAACTAGGCAGAAAAAGGGGGAAATAAGGTGAGAAAAATTTTGTTAGAGGGTAGCTTGGTAGTTTTTTTTTTTTTTTTTTTTTTTTTTTTTTTTTAAAAAAAAAAAGGTTCTATTTTTACAAAAATAATGTTCTTACTTGTATGAGTTGTATCTATAGTTATGAAGACGAAGAAGAATTCGAAAGAAGAAGATTTCACAGCCTCTTTAATGAATTTCAGGCCATGTCGACGGCCTTCTTCGTTGCTGATTATTTCCCTTCCATTGGCTGGCTTGATAAGCTGACCGGAAAATACTCTAGGCTTGACAAGGTGTTCAACGACTTGGATTTGTTTTATGAGGAGATTATTGATGAATATCTTGACCCAAATCGACTCAAATCTGACCAAAAGGATGTCATTGATGTTCTTCTCCACCTAATGAAAGAGTGTAACCTTTCGTTTGAGCTCACCATGGATCACATTAAAGCAATTCTTATGGTAATTTGTTCTCTTAAATAAATCTTAATAATGACTCGTTTAGTACTAATAATATAATATTATACGTCTGCTTTCACAGAACATATTTGTAGCAGGAACAGATACAAGCACAATCATGGTCATTTGGGCAATGACTGAGCTAATCAAGAACCCAACAATCATGAGTAAATTACAAGAAGAGCTTCGGAATAATTTATCCGATAATAAGGGTTGTATCACAATGGAAAATCTTTTAAAGTGCAAATACTTTAAGGCAGTAGTGAAAGAAACATTAAGATTTCACCCTGCAGCTCCACTAACATTTCGAGAAACACTTAAAAAAAGTAACATAAAAGGGTACGACATTCTACCCAAAACTCAAGTATACGTGAACATATGGGCTCTTGGAAGAGATCCTGAATATTGGAAAGATCCGGAAAAATTCATGCCCGAGAGGTTTATGGAGAGTTCAATTGATTATAAAGGAAACGACTTCGAGCTTATTCCATTCGGAGCTGGTAGAAAAATATGCCCGGGAATGGTTCTTGGTGTAGCTAGTTATGAGCTAGCACTTGCCAATTTGTTGTATAATTTCCAATGGGAATTGCCTAGAGGTATGAGCAAGGACGACATCAACACTGATACGTTGCCTGGTCTTGTTATGAGTAAGAAAGATCCACTTTGTCTTTTGGCTAGGAAATTCACATAGTTTCTTATGGTTTAAGTGGTTTGGTCCCGCCACCCTAAGTCACGAAATGTAGTTGAAGTCGAGTATGTGAATTGTGCATACTTTTAAAATGCTGTACTTCAAACAAATTAAAAAATAAAACTTTTAGTTCTTGTTCTCTTTACCTTATTGTTGTCATTAAGTAATTAATTATTGCATGTGATTAATTTTAATGATTTACACAAACTTTAACCAAATCTATCTATACTTTTATATATATTAAAAAGCGTTCTAAAATCGTTTATATGCCACATCATTCCCCTCTCATACCATTGTGCCATATCATCACTTAATGACATGTCATTACCAAATAACAATTCATTCCAACTATTATTGATAGATTAATATTAAAAAGCATTTGATGGGTTTTGAACACTAGACGACCTTGAGAATACAAGCTAGATCTAACTCATTACCATCTTAGCTAATAATAATTCATGTCATCTATACAAATAAATATAACTATAAATGACACGCACCAATTAAAATGAAAACGAGATAAGCACTTTGAAAAAAAAAAATAAGAGGAATAAAATAAACATTTCTTAAACAATAAAGTATTAAAAATTGTTTTCTATACTCTTTGTTAATTTGTAACATTATGTTTAACATTTATGCATAACATATATACACAATAGATGATAATATATTTCATAAAGAAACAATTTAATCAAAGTGGTAACCCGGTGCAATGCCCGGGCCGCACACTAATTTAAACAATGATATTGATGTCATTAAGTAATTATTACAGATAATTTTAAGACTTTAACGAAAAATCTTGTGTGAATCTAAGGTCCAACATTATGTGGGACCCTAATTTTAACATAGTGACTTTTATTAAAACTTGTATATACTTGATTCATATTAATGTTTGTTACGAACCTGAGATTCACAAGTATCAACCAACATTATGTTGAACATAGCACCCTATTTTAACATATAGACCTTTATAATTCATACTCTGTATTGACTATTGACTAGTACATTGAAAACTTTCATAATAAAATATAAATATTTTTATGATCTTTATTATAACATACTGACTTTTATTTCAGCATAATATAACCTCTATTTTGACACTACGTCGACTTTTTTATTAATATAATAACTACCTTTATTTAATAAAATATTTGATTAAACATAGTGACCTTAATACTAATTGTTCACTATAATTTAATGTGAATTAGATCTATTTAAGAGTTTACAAGATTTATTTAAAACCTCATAAACATCTTAAATATATTTATTTGCCACAAGACAAAGTGGATTTCTTTTATACATTGTTAATCCAAGTTGCACATCAGTGTCTATGTCGTCCCTTCTTAAACTATCAGGCAATTTCCAATCAAAAAAGTACAGTAAATTGGCAAGCATAATTTCCAAGCTAGCAACGCCAAGATGTATGCCAGGACATATTCTTCTTCCAGCACCAAAAGGAATTAGCTCAAAATCTTGTCCTAGAAAATTAATCGAACTTTTCAAAAACCTCTCAGGCTTGAATGAATCGGGGTCTTTCCAAATTTCAGGATCCCTACCAGTAGCCCAAACATTGACATATAGTAAAGTCTTGGATTGAATATCAAATCCCTCTATGGTGCAATCTTGCATTGTTTCTCGTGGAACTAATAATGGAGCTGCTGGATGTAATCGGAATGTTTCTTTTACTACTGCCTTAAAGTATTCAAGATTGGAGAGATCATTATCTTCGATATACCCTTTGTTTTGAATTGCATTCCTAAGCTCATTCTGGACTTTCTTCATTTCATCGGGGTTTTTAATTATCATAGTCATTGCCCAAATTACCATAGCTGTACTAGTATCAGTTCCTGCTACTATGATATCCTGAAAATCAGTTAATGATTTATGTTAGGAGTAGTATTTTTCTTACAGGTATTGTAGTTTTCTTGTTAAGGAAACATATCTTTTCATATTTGTAGCATAAAGTAATTATAACTCCCTCTGTCCCTTAATTATATTCTTACTTCTAGCATTTATTCCTTACATAATTGAGAGAAGTAGGAATCTAATTAAGGGACGGAGGGATTATTTTTTTTTTTTTATGTTATATATTGTATGGTAATTTAAGGAAGATTAAAAAAAAGAATGGAGGGAGTATTGTGTACTATTTCACCATTATGACTTTATTACTGAGCAATGTAATTGAAGTTGTGAGCGCAATCAGTAATCAGTATCAATAATTTATACTACCTCCGTTTTTTTTAGTTGACATGTTTTGATTTTAGCACTATTCACATAGTTTTTTTTTACCATGTTTTGTGATTTATACGTAATGAAATCTATAGTCATGTGGGATTTTGTTAGATTCGTCACGATATATATATTTTCAAAATATCAATTTTTTATAATTTTTGAAAATTGGTAACTAAAGATATTAACGGTTTAATTTATGCACTATGGAAACGTGTTAACTAGAAAAAACAGAGGAAGTACGAAATTTTAAAAGTGATAGGAGGATCCTTCAAAAAAAAAGGAGTAACACATATCATTTGCTGGTTTTAAATTTTTCTTCCATTTTTCCTTTTCTATTCATTTTTAAATTTTTTATTTCCTTTTTTTTGCTAAATATTTATTAATTTTTTAAAATTAAAATATTTTCTTTTCATTTTAACATTATATCAGTGTATAATATATTATACACACTGATATAAAATAATTTATTATATTCTCACTCATCTTGTTTATTGTTGAATTAACATTATAACTTATTAGGGTAAGAAGAATTACCATTAACATTGCCTTAATGTGATCCAGAGTGAGCTCAAATGAAAAGCAACGCTCTTTCTTGAGTTGGAGCAGAATGTCAACCATGTTTTCTCTTTCAAATTTATTCTTCTTTAGGTCAAGATGCTCACCAATGACCTCTTCATAAAACTCTTCCATTTTCTTGAATGTTTTCTCAAGTTTTGAATACTTTCCAGTTAGCTTATCAAGCCAACCGAAATAAGGGAAGTAATCTGAAATGAAGAAGCCGGCGAGCATGGCTTGAGCCTCAGTCAAAAGGTCATGGAACCTACTCCTTATCCCCTCATCATTCTCGAACCTGTATATAAGAGAACGAATAATATCAATACTCCCTCTGTTTTTAAATAAGCATCACGTATTTCATTTGAACAACTATTAGCTAGCATATTGAAAAACCCTTATTATCAGTAATATTGTCATTGGAGTACTAGAAAGATAAATTTGAAATGAAAAACATTACAAAATATCTTATTTCATTAACTAATAATTTAACAACTTTGCAAGAAAAAATATATTTCTTCAAAGAAAGAAAAATCTAAAATTTGTTGACTTTGCTATTATAATTAGTAAATACTCCATACTTATAATTATAGGGGGTCCTTAAAATGATGACCATAAAGATCGACTTGAAAGTCGTACCATCTATGTTATACTTACATCTTTAATTACCTGTATATTTCATGTACTTCACTTTCGTTTTTTCATTTTTTTTTGTTTTTCCTTTTTCCCAACCCACATTTTCTTTATAAATGTGTTTATATGTACGTATGTATTTAAATCATGCATAATGTTTATAATGAAATACTACATACTTCCTCCGTTATTTTATAGTTGCAATAGCTTGACTTCTACATTATTCACTTGTTTCACTTTGACTAGTTTTAACGATTTATACTTAAATAAAAATATAATCATGTGAGATCTTGTTAGATTCGTATTGATTTAAATACAATATTAATATCAAATTTTTATAATTTTCACTTAATGGTAATTAAAGATATAAACGATTGAAAATATGCATTGACAAGTGTGAAAAGAGAAATGTTGCAACTATAAAAAAACAAAGGAAATGTGTTCTTTATCTCTATGTGTATTATATATATATTTTCTAAAAACCTGCACAGTAAGACATGATTCACAATTAAATAAACATCATGCACACACATTCGCCTTCTAAATCATCAAATTATCTATAAGAAAATATAATTAGCTAGCAAGCTTTGGCAAGAGTAGATACATACCGCTTTCCAAAAGCGGTTCTGCATATGGTGGAGCTTGCACATCTAAACAACAATTCACTCAAATTGACAACTTTATTTTCAGACGAAAGAGATGAGATCTTTTGAATGATCCTTGAGACTTCTTCGTGTCGAATCGAAGCAAAAGTCTCTACTCTCTTGGAACTTAGTAGATGAACCACAAAAATCTTTTTAACTTCTCTAAAATACTCACCATATGGTGCAAAAGCAACGTCTAAACCATTGTAACTTAGCCTTTGTCTACCAACCATAACTTTTTTGTTACAAAAGTTTTTATCTTGTACTTGTAACACCTCTTTGGCCATCTTAGCCGATTGTACCACAACCACTGATCGATTCCCGATTCGAAAACTAAAGATCGGTCCATAGATATTTGCTAGCTTGGTAAAGTAGAGATGAGGGTTTTTGAAGTCAAATTGATGAAGATTTCCAATGATAGGAAGACCTTTAGGTCCAGGTGGTGGATTAACTGGCTCATTTTTTTTGTGGTTTAGAAAAAGATAAATGATAGAAATTGATGCAACAATGAATGATGATAGGAGGAATAACATGTTTTTTTCTTTCTTTTTTTCCTATACTTCAATTATTCATGCATGCACCTAATATAAGCATATATAGCAAGATAGTAAAATTATTGATCATGTAGGGTAAATTTTTTTATTTTATTTTTATTTATTTTTTCTTTGGGAAAGACTTTAGTCATTGTTAATTGTTGGAGATTCGTCAGAGTAGTGGTATCTGATCTGATTTACGATCGATTCATGATATGTTTCTGTCACTATAATATGGTTCTCCACAAAACATGTTACCAACGTTTTTTGGTGAAAATAAACATGTTACTTACGTTGTACTTCACTAATGACCACACACAATTGTGCTACTATCGTAGCTAGTGTATATATGGTCCTCCTCACTATCGTAGCTAGTGTATATATGGTCCTCCTCACAATCGTACCAACATAATACTTTTTAACACAAAATTGTACTCGTTTTTATGGTTTCCCACACATTATCGATAACTTGCGTATATGTATGGTTCTCCTCTCACGATTGTTGATAGAGTTTAAATGGTTCTCCATTCACAATCAACTACTTGAGGCAATATACATAATACGTGCGTGGTACTCCACACACAATTGTTAACCAGGCGAGACCCTTAACAATTTACCATGTGCGGCAGTGGCGGAGCCAGGATTTATAATTCGGGGGGACAAATTTTGGAGGTTAAAGTTTCGGCAAAAATCTCAAGAAAAAAATTGATAACCTAAATTGTTTAATATTTATTTGAAATCACATATGCCAATTATTTCTATATGGAAAAAGAGGGGTAAAAAAGTTTTATTGTATATTAAGAAAATTATCCAACAAAAATGAATAAATTTATATTTGTAAATCCTGTTATGTAATCACATAATTGATAAATAAAAAGTCAAATAATTATCGTTAAAACAAATTGATGGTAGATATGAAGGGCCAGGGTTTGAGTTACATTCGAAAAAATAAACTCAACTTTTTCAAATCAATCATATTATTAATATGTATTTCGTTAAAACACAGTTACAAACAATTAATTAATAGTAATCTATTTATTAGAAATGTAAAAAAAAAATTGAGTTTAAGCACACTTAGTTAAAGCGATAATTAAAAACAAGAAGTAGGAAATAAGAAATAACATTAAAAATCCTAAAACAAGAAATAGGAAATAAAAAATCAAATTAAAAAGGTTGTTGAAAATTAGAGTATGTAATAAAAAAAACAAGAAGTAGGGGAAAAAAAAACAAAAAAGCTGAAAAACAGTAGAGTAGGGAATCGAACCTAGGACCAAAACACAGCCTTACTAAGGACTCAACCACCAAACCATATTCAATATTGTGATATCTACTGTAAGTATATGTTATTTATAGCCTTTTACTGTATTTTCTTGATTTTTTTTTTTTAAAAAAAACTTTTTTTCCGAAAATGGGGGGACAACTGTCCCCCCTTGTTCTAATGTGGCTCCGCCACTGATGTGCGGGTTCAGCAGCTGCACACGGCGAAGGCCCCAATTTTAAGTTTATTCTTCACTTAACAACTGTACAACTATCATGATGAGCAACAGAGCATCTCTATATACTTCCGTTCTTTTATCATTGTACTATTAGGATTTGGCACAATTTTTTGGTGTGGAAAAAAGAGATGAGAGAGAAAAGTAAAAATGCAAATTAAAATTGCCCATGTAATTGAATACAAAACCTAAAAAATCTATACTTAGTATTTAAAAACACAAATCACAAATTTTTCACATGACACATGGCATCGCAATTCACAAGTCACTATTCACCCCATATGCCACATGTCATCTCTCTTAATATTTATGTTTAAATCTTTATGCATTATACAATTTGCAAATTCAAGTAAGAAAATGAAGTGTTTCATTTCCACCATAATAAAATATTGCTTTAATTAATACACATTACATAAACATATAAATTATAATAAAATTTGTCTTTTCATCTCCTAGACTTTAAATATAATTTAAAATAATATGTCATTAATTCATTCATCTTCTATTCTTCTTTCACAGTTCTACCCACTTTTTCTTTTTTTTCTTTTAAGTTTAGAAATGAAACAATCTTCCTACATATGAAAATAATTAACCCAAGTAACAACCCGTGCATTGAACGGGCCAAAAAAGCTAGTTAAAATGAATACGGTGTAATATTTGTGAAACTTCCTTATAAGTCAAGTGGTGCAATATTTTTTTTAAAAAGAGGGAAATATAGTTTTGGAAAATAGGCATTAATTCAGTCTTGCTCCCGAAATTCTCTTTTAATGAGCATTAATTCCATCCATATATTCTCTTCAATTTTGTATTTTCGTATGAACAAATGACTTTTAGAGTAGCTCCTATGGTTGTTTTTGGAGACTAGCTTGCAATTTTTACAATTTTCAAGTGATAGCTAACCCATCGGAGAATAATTTACTTATTAGCTTGGCAAAGCAAATTAACTTAGCTAATAAGCTAATTAGCTTAGGAATTAATTGTTTATTATAAAAATAATATAGTTGAAAAAATAAATTAAATGACAACTAGCTTACCATTTAAACATAATGACCCGAATATTAGAGTCAACAATAAATTATTGTAAAACAAATCTATTTACAATTACTTTAATTTTTTTAAGGTAAGGAAAAAAACATGTTTTTTTCTAACCCACATTTCTTTGATTTAGATTAGGATCTTTTACCGAAAACGGCTAATTTGATAAAAGATATTTACCAAAACGGCTAATAATAAATTTTAATTCCAAAACTAGCTAAATAATTGCCTAAGAACGAAATTAGCCATTTCTTATTTTCCTTTGAACCGGTTTGGTTCACTTTATTAATTTTTTTATTTTATTTTTTTTGGTTTTATTTTAATGTTGATTTAGGATTTTTTTTTAAGTTGGAAAATTTAAGCCATATACAAATATACAGAGTAATTTTGATCACAAAAAAAAAAAAAAAAAAAACTAGATTGTATCACAAATTTGGAATTGTAGTATTGTTTTATTAACACCCCCGCAAATTTATACGACAATAACGGTTTTTAAGGTATTGTTCATCTTTACATAACTCTTAAATGTATATACTCTCTATTAATGTCGACTAATTTGAATTTTTTTTTTTTAGTTTAATGTGCGTAATAAATCAAACTTACATATACTTATGTGATATATAATGAACATATGTTTATGTGACATATAATGACAGACAATGAATATGTTCTTAGATGGTTTTTTTTTGGATCAATTTTTTGAGTAATTTTTGTTTTTTTTTTAAATTTTGTGTAACTTTTAATAATAAAAATAAATGCTAATGCTTGCATCACTGAATAAAGTAGAGTCTTCTGAGAATTGTAACAAATATATTACGTCGAATGTTATTTTTCAAATTAATGGGATATTTTAAACTATGGCATTAGAATTTTCCCAAAAAAAAAAAAAAAAAAACTAAAAAACCAAAATAATAATAAAAAAAAAACCATTTTAAATAAAATAAAAAAATACCATAAAATGAACCAAATTGGTTCAAAGAAAAATAAGAAATAAATAATTTCCTTTCAAGTCAATAATTTAGCTAGTTTTGGAATTAAAATTTAGGGAAATTATCATTGGTAGCCATATAAAATTGTACATTCTCAATAGTAACAATTTTTTTTGCAAATTCTCTTAAATAGCATTAGTAATCTAAATAGTCTCTAACATAGCATTATTTTACTAATTTTGACCTGTATAACCTAAAATCACTAACCAGGTTAAATAATCATGTGTAAGTTACTAAACCAACAAGCCACCTCCTCCAATCCCCACCGCTGAAACAGCTTGCCGCCATTCTCTTTCCTACCGAACAACCCAGCCAAATCTCCCCTCCACCCCGAAACCCTTAACCATCCTTTCCTTCCCTCCCTGAAACCGTTTTATGTAGCGTTCATTATGAATTAGGGCTGAAATTGACTCTTGCAGCTGCTATTTGCGACTATTATTGTTAATGGACTGCTGCGTGTGTTTAAGTGCTTGAGGCAATGCTAAAAGCTGGTGTTTTGTGCAGCGTTTAAGAAGAGTTTGACTAGTGGGTGCTATGTGCTAAATACAGGGGCGGCAGGGGTTAATTTTGTGTGAGTGTGATTGATGCGGGTGGAGACAGAGGCGTGGTGGAAGTTGTTGGTTGGTTGTTGTTGCGTTAGATGGTGGCTGCTAGGTTGCGCGTGCTCATAGGGGGTGCGGCAAGGTGTTTCAAGGGTGGGGGGAATTGAAGGAGGGATGTGAATAAGGGTGGTAAAGGGAGGTAGAGGGATGGGAAGGTGCCAAGGTGGTGGCTGACTGGCTGGGTGTTTTTTATGGTAGGGGTTAGATAGGAGGGTGGTAAGGGTATGGTGGTGTGGTGGTAAGGGAATGTAATTAACCATGATTAATAGCTTAATTATGCTAAAATTACTAAAATAACACTATATTAGCGAAAAATGATAAATCTATTGCTATTTAAGAGATTTATGGAAAAATTTTGTTACCAATGAGAATGTGCAAATCTACATGGCTACCAATGAGAAAAACCCTTATCATTAACCGTTTTGGTAAATACTTTGTAAAATTGGCCATTTTGGTAAAAGATCCTTCGAATTATATGTTGTATACTTGTATGTATGTATTTAATTCATGCACAATGTTTATAAGGCACTTCATACGTTATTTATTTTTGTAAGTATGCATTAAACATATAAGCGTTTTTTTAATTTAAAGGTAATCCGATAGCGTTACTTAGATAAGATAACTGAAAATTATTGCATAATTTTGGTATGCATTTCAAAATTTATACAAAGTACTATTTTAAAAATATCTAACGTAACTTCAGAGGTAGTTGTTGAATTATTTGGCAAGATCTTCTCATTTTTTTTCCTTAAAATCAAGACATCATAAATCACGTGATAAACGTTTAAACATCATGTTACACGCGTTCACCTTCTAATTATTAATCAGTAGACTACTTAGATATTATCAAATTATTCATAATAAACATATATTTTGTATATAATTGGTTAGCTAGCTTGAGCAAGTAAGTAGAGTACGGACCGCTCATATGATAGAGCTTGCACATCTAAACAACAATTCACTTAAATTGACAACTTTATTTTCATATGAAAGCGATGAAATCTTTTGAATGATCCTTGAGACTTTATCGGAGCGAAAGTCTCCATCCATTCTCTTGGTACTTAGTACGTAGATAAACCACAAAAATCTTCTTAATTTGTCTATAATACTCACCATATGGTGCAAAAGCAACGTCTAACCCATTGTAACTTAGCCTTTGTTAACCAACCGTTATCATTTTGTTGCAATAGTTTTTATCTTGTATTTGTAAGACCTATTATGAAGATTTTCTATAATAGGAACTTAAATTAGGAAGGCCTTTTGGTCCAGGTGGTAGATTTGATGGTTCATTTTTTCTCTGTTTTAGATGAAGATAAATGAAAAAGATGGATGCAATAATGAATAAGAGGAGCAA